GGGCTTTGAGGTGTCCCCCCACCCCCACTCCTGACCGGGCCCCCTCCCTCTGGGTTTTGGATACATGGTTGGCGGCTCCTTTGTTCGAGGAGGCAAAACAGAGGGCCTCGGGCGGATGGTTCTCAGCACCCAAGGGCGATAAAGTTGCCGCGTGAGGCTCCGCTTGCTCGGGAGCTGGTCTGAGCGTCAGGTTGTGTTTTGTTTGGGGTTTTGGTTCTTTGCAGCAGAATCATTTCAAATAGGCCAAGGGGTTTGGATGTGCCGGGCTTGGAAGTAGTGACAGCTAGTCAGCTGGCGCGTGATCGTCAGGGTGGCTCCAGCACAGTGTGCGGGCACTGCGAAGCCGGACCTGGGGCCTGGCTCTGCGGACAGAGCGGCCGCCGCACGGCGCTGGGCGCCCCGAGAGCGGCCGGCGCCGCCTCTTCTGCGGCGGAGCGAGCCTGTTCGCCCGAGGGCCGCGGGAGCCCCTCGGTCCAGCCACCGGGTATTGTTAGCGCCAGAGTAAGGGGCCGGGAAAGCTCTTACAGCCTCTGGGAGCACCTGAGCCCCGTGAACCCCGACAGGGCAGGGTGGCGGCGGCGTGGGGACGCTTTGAGGAAACCCTTATTGGTCTTTGGGGAGAACCTGGGTAAAGCCAGGCCATGTTCAGGGAGACTGCGGAAGTAGCCTCGCGCGTGACCGCTCCTCTGTATCCTTTGCTTGCAGATCAACAAAAAACCACAGTGATTGAAAACGGGGAAATCAGGTTCAATGGAAAAGGGAAAAAGATTCGGAAGCCTCGGACCATTTACTCCAGCCTGCAGCTCCAGGCTTTAAACCATCGCTTTCAGCAGACTCAGTACCTGGCCCTTCCCGAGAGAGCTGAACTGGCAGCTTCCTTAGGACTGACACAAACACAGGTAATTCCCGGGAAGCCCGAATATCCCCGAAATGCTGGCCCCGCTTGCAGATCGGGCAGGGAGCACATCAGGAAGAATTCTTGGCCTAGTCCACCAAGGATGGAAGATTAATGACCAATGCCTTTGCGCCGGTTACGAACTTTCCCTGGGACAGCACAGTGTGGAATAAATGAATACTGGATTGGATTTGCACATCTCCCCAACCCTCGGCGACCCCACCCCAGTCTAGTGTCCTTTGGTGACCAAGCTCATCCTTTATTCGAGTCCTATTTCAAAACAGAACAACATGAAAGAGAGAGAGAAAAAGATATTCAGGCCAGGAGGCAGAGTAAGAGATAGATATAGATAGATAGATAGATAGATAGATAGATAGATAGATAGATAGATAGATAGATATGTGATCCTTTTGTGGGTCCTTGGACTTAAGGATTTCAGCTTGTTGACATAGAATTATGAAGTGAAATGAAGAGGGGAGATAGTCATAGGCTCCAATAGGATTTGGTTGAGGGACCAAGGTGCCAGCTATTCATCCTGGGATGGGTGAGGTGAGTTTTCCTGAAGATTGCCCTAAGCTCAATGGTTAAATCATCCTGGTGACTGGCTGGTGAGGCACCTCTGTAGAGCACAGAACTTGGGAGCAATGGCAGAGGTGGAGATCAAAGAGAAGTGCTGCCCAAATTACAGCAGGTGAAGCCTCAGTTAAGTACAGTTGCTGAAGTTCTGCTGTCCTACTAATTTGAAAGACATATGGGCCCTTTCAGACTTCACAGGAAGGGGCTTAGGCAGGTATATTAAGACCCTGGCCATAAAGCCAGGCTGCAATCACCTGTGGTTTCTGTCCTTGTCCATCAGCTTAGCGGCGTGGGGCGGTAGGCCTCATGTGAGGTGGGTGATCTTCGGCATGGGGACTCCACGTTTTCTGAGACTCTTGCTGGGGAATGTGTGGCGACTTAGAACAGATGCTCCTAAGCTCTTCTGTTCAATTCAGCCTGCTTTCTTTTGCCATTTTGCCTCTGGAAATATGTGGGGCTTGCAACGAAGGGATTCCTGCTACTCAGTAACTTGTATTCCTCTTGGAAAAGCAGATTCCTATGGCTCAGGAATTTTGAAGGTAAAGGAAGCAGCACCCTAGAATTTCCTTCTTGAAATAAAAGGAGACCTGGTACATTAGCTTAGATATTCTCCCAACCCAGATTCCTGATTTCCATTTAATTTTCAGAGGCCCTTTGACTTTAAGTGGCTACGCTAACAATCATGTGATGATTGCTGACCACAGTTTGACTAAGCAACATACAAAGTAGGAATGAATGAGGGAGGTACAATCCCTAATCTCTGCAGGATTATGGGGATGTATTTACGTAGGGAGAAAGATGCCCCATGCACAGTTTGTGGCATGTGCAGTATATGCATAGGGATATTTGAGTCATGTGGGTATAAATGTATAGGCTTTAATCTGTCCATAGTCATCTGCTCACTACATGCATAGAGATGCCAGGTTTGGGGATTGGTAAATATATTTTTAAGAAAGAGACTATCAGAAAAAGTGCATTCAGTTGGCTTTGATCCGAAAAGTTCTCTGTTTAAAAAATCCCTCTTTCGACTTTGACCCCAGCTATCTCATGCGCCTTTATTTCTTATTTTATTCTTATTTATGCTGTTGTTTTATGCCTTAGATTTGCATCCAACTGAAGAGTTTAGGTATCCAGACAAGATACCTAGTAATGGGTGGGTAGGGTGGGGGTGAAGAAAGAGGTGGAGCAAAGCGGGGACTGGAGGGCTTGGTGTTTGTGGGATTGTTTTATTATATTATTATTTTTTTAAAAAAATAATTGCTTCCAAAGCCTCAACGTGAGGCACCAGGGGATGTTTTCGAGCCTAACGATCGCCACTGCATTTTGTCCTAGGTGAAGATCTGGTTTCAGAACAAACGCTCTAAGTTTAAGAAACTGCTGAAGCAGGGCAGTAACCCGCACGAGAGCGACCCTCTCCCGGGCTCAGCAGCCCTGTCGCCGCGCTCGCCGGCGCTGCCCCCGGTGTGGGACGTTTCGGCCTCGGCCAAGGGCGTCAGTATGCCCCCCAACAGCTACATGCCCGGCTATTCGCACTGGTACTCCTCACCACACCAGGACACGATGCAGAGACCGCAGATGATGTGAGTTGTCCGAGGGAAATCGATACCCCTAGGGGGAAACGTCTGAACCAGGCAAGGAGGATCCGGGACCTGCTTGCAGCTGCCACACCGAGCCGAGCCCACGGAGCAGGCTCAGGAGAACTCACGTCTGACCAGACCGTCTGCGCACTCGCGCTCTCTCCCGCTCCCTCCGTCTCTGTTTCTCTCTCACACGCCTCCCTTTCTTTTCCTCCCTCCTCCCTTCTTTCCTTCCTTCCCACCTTTCTTTTCCTTTTTCCTTTTCTTTCCTCGTCTCGTCTGCCTTTTCCCTGGAGCAGCCTCAGTAATTGATCTTGCATCTTAGGGACAGAGAGAGGGAGGGAGAGAGAGGGAGAGGCTGGTTACTATGCCAGCGCTCCTGAACCCCCTCACTGTCACTGTAAGTATATTTTCCCTTACCCCTTGGGATCCAGGCCCTGAGCCTCTTCTTCTCTTTGGGAGTATCTATCAAAACAACTTTTTTTACAGACATCCCCCCCCACCACCACCAGAAGAATCTGCGCAAACATGGCAGCGTTTTTACTTGTTTAATGAACTTAAGGCGTTACATGATGAAACAGAAGCATTTCAGACTCCTACGTTTTTATTTACCAATCCCAGACTGACAAAAATAAATGAATAAATAATAAGAAGAAAAATAAAAGAAAAGCCCTCACATAACAGCCATTCTCTAAAGGAAAAGGAAAAATCAGCTGAGATTAGAACATTGCCACAAAGGGAGCGCTGCATGTTTTATCAAAATGCAATGAACAAGAATGATGATTTCTAAACAAAACAAAACCACTCTTTTCCCTACCCCCAAACCCTGAACCGGAATCAGGAAAGACAGAGGAAACAACCAAAATCATGGTTCTATTGCTTTGATACTTTTACTAGGTGAATTGGTGGCATTCACTAAGCTAATAGGGACGTTTATATCAAGAAACATTTCTGTATATATTGTTGAATTTTAGTTGTACATATACTTTGTATGTTTTTGTCTTCTTTCATATATGGAGTAAAAGCCACAAAACGCTGGGAGTGTCCTGTATATTTCTCCCTATGTGTCTGTATCTCATCACTTCGCCCTCCTCCCCTCTCATATATTTTCTATCATTCTTAAAAGAATTCCCATTTCCTAATATGGGAAGCCCCATATATACACCAAGTGCTTGCAAAAGGTGTCAGTTTGAAGCACTAGCCTTTGTCTTAAGTACTTTACCATTAACCATGGGTGTTTTCCCAGCTTCTTTTCTATATTAAATTTTATTGTAATTTCTTCTATTTAAAAAAAATCAGAATGATCTATCCCCTGACAACCTCTCGTGCTGAAACTGAGTGTTCTCCTCTCCCTTTTCTCAGCTAAAGAAATACAGCTGTATTTGTCTTTCTTTGCAAGCACTTTTTAACCAAAAAAAGGAAACAATATGAGAAAAGAATAGAAAACAAATGCACAATTATGACTTTTTAACGTTAAACCTTTGCAAGCTAGCTAGGTAGGAAAAGCACGCTCCTGGATGCAATACATCCTCCGATCTTGTGGAAAGCTTAGAAATAATGGAAATGAAAAGTCCTTTCGTCATACAAGCAGGAAGCCCCATACTGCGAGAATTAATGGCTACAGACCTGGGCATCCTTCAAATTATGAACCTTGAAACCACTGAGCCATTTATCAGAAGTCAATAGAGACACTCAGAGTGCTCCCTATAATGACAGCGACATACAGCCGTGCAAAAGGACAGTCACTATAATTAGACACAAAGCAAAGACGACTTACCAATATACCCGTGCCTTTTTTTGTTGAGCAACTTCCACGCTCAGTCAGTCTTCAGAATGGTTTAAAACCGATCAGTCTTGTCATTTTCTAGCATTCGCATTGTTACATTAGGAAAAATGTTTTCTTTTCTTTTTTCCCCTTTCCTACTGTGAAACTTTGGGTTCGTAGCTCCCCAGGATCAATTCTGAACAAAGCCTCCAGCTGCAGTGCCATCCAATTTGAAGCAGACATTGGGGACAATTTAAGGTTTTTATCCACAAGAAGGTTTTTTTCCATTCTCTTAAATGCAGCCATAATTAGAGTAATTTTTCATGTAGCCCGCTGATTACAGCGTTTTTACCGTCAAAGATAATTACCTGTAATTTTCTTCCACTTTTAATACTAAAAAGCCATCTTTATTTAGATTCAGGAACAGGAAAGGCGAAACAAAAGAGGGAAATTATTCTGTTATTCATACACAGATTGCAGAGACGTAGGACCTAAAATTGAAAATTAACCAAAATTATAATGCTGAAAAGAATGGAAGAGGCTGCAGAAGTACAGCTGGTAGTGGGGCTTTGCTGAATTATTCAAATTACGTTAGAGAGAAAGCTACCATACATCGAAACCAACACTAATTTTTCTTAAAAAAAAAAAATCCACCAGACACAGGCCAAACCACTGGTAAGTGCATGAAATTCTGAACCCCAGAAAATGCATTTTAACACATTGGAGGTGTTGTCATGATGGGCTTGTATCAATCTATCTCTTAATGTGAGTTTAATTAAATTCTGCCAGAACTCTCCTTGGAAACTGGGCTTCCTGGGCTCCCTGAACCTCAAGGGTTAATATTTTCGCACTTTAGGTTGTATTGACCCTGTACACTGGTTGCTGAGAGAGGGGTTGGGAGGAGGGGCGTGGGCAAAAGGCATCACCCAGTCGCGGTGCCTACGACGCCTCCCCACGTTCGCACTTCCCCGGAGTTCTAGAGCCTCGATCTGACCATATATCCCATTTAAAAAAAAGAAAGAAAGAGAGAGAGAGAGAGAGAACAATAGCTGCGGGCGGTGAGGGTGAAGGGGGAAATTTCTTCCCGGCGCCAATAAGCATCTCATTATCTTTTGACACAATTTAGTCCAAAGGTTCCCGCCGCCGGCGGAGAAAGGCCTTTCTGCACTGGGGTGAGGGAGCCCAACATTGCTCAGGCTCCTGCCCTGAACACCTCTAGCGGCGTCCAGCGGGTACGGCGTCAGGAAACAGCGTCATCTATAGATAGAACAGCACGGAGTCTTCCTCGCGCCTTCCTGAATCAGGCTGGTTTCTGGGCTCCGCATCTCGGCTCTGCCTCTCAGCCAATCATGCTCCTCTAACCCCAAGGTCGCAGCTTTCGCCCCCGCAGGCAGTAGCTCTAGGAGAGGCATCCCACCCCTTCCCCACCCTGCCTCCACCCCCGGCTTGAGGCAAAGGCCCTGCAAAGGAGCCCTGAAGGGTTTCAGAGGCCAGTTACTCCTGAAACTTTCTCCCAAAGTGGAGAATGTGTAAGGGACTCTACAGTTTGGAGATAAGACTCCACCTGCCGTTGCAAATGTCCGCATACCTGTGATAGGAAAGGGGCACTCTCCCAAGCTCCATTTGCTCTCCCCATGCCCCCAAACTTGAAACCATCGCCACGTATAAAGACCTCAATGGGTTCGCCTAGGACTAGCTTTGAGTAACAATTTGCAAAGAGATTTTAGCTTGGAATCTCCAGCGCTCTCCCTTCACACCTTACAGAAACCTAGTCCTTTCCACAGGCTCCAGTCACAAGTTGCACCAAATACATCAACAGCACAGAAAGCAAAAAGAGACAAAGCGAGTTCTTCAGGATCCCATCCTCACCTGAATCTTTTACTCACCAGAATGACAACCCCTTTACTGTTAACAGGGGGGATAAAAGATCAGAATTGCAAAATCTGTAAAGCAAAGTTGCAGTCTATAATGAATTACAACAGCAACACATATACCTTGGAAAGTGTGAGAAGATAAGTATGAACTGTGCCTTGAAGTATGAAAGAAATAAAAACTTACCCCCAGTGAATATCTCTTAAGCAATGATCAGGTCTAGAAATCTATACTGAACAGAAGCAGAGAGGAATATTTTTCTGAGTCTCAGGGCAGAAGCTCTTTCTCTATATTCTTGGTTGAGTGAGCACATCCAGGTGTGAAATTGTTTGCACACCCCAGCACCTCTTATATTGCCAGCAAAATTAGCTGTTATTACTGTCACTGTTTAGTGATGGTTAGCGTGATACAAAAAAAAAAAAAACTGCTGTAATCAAGACCTGGCGCATCTTTGCAAATTACAGATAATTGTAAACGTCCAGATTATGATAATAGCATCCTAATCCAGCCTGCAATATAATTATTACAGAGTGTTACATCTGAAACTGTCCAGTAGGGCTAATTCAGCCATTATTTAGACCCTATTTTTGCACTGCAAATGGGTTGCTGAGTTGAAAATGTACGATTGTAATTTCACAGGGCACTCAATGAGTAATGGTATAGGAAGAGGAAAATACAAAAGTGAAATGTGAACAGTAGCGATCAAATCAAACCCTGAAGGACAAAAGACTGTTTGATTCATATGGAAAAAGAAGAGTGGGAATTAAGAAAATAGCAAATCAGTGGTCTGAAGCATTACGTGTCCAAATCTTCAATATGTGTGGGGCTGATGTGTTTGCAAGGGCTGCTGCATCTGCTGTTGCCTGGAGTCTGAAATAATTTTTTTCTTTTTTCTTTTTAAACCCTTGTCTTCCCCATGCTCTCTAAAGCATTTCCTTGGATAAAAGTGCCCATCCCCCAAGCAAAGAACACTTGTCAGTTTCACCATTGTTTCCACCAGGGTGGACTCAGAGTGCCTGTCACTTGTTTATGAACATTTTCTTAAATGAATTTGCAGCCTCTTGTGATTAGCACAAAATGCCCTGGGTGCATGTAAGTGTTCCTGAGTTCCATCTCCATTCTCTTTCACAGGGAACAAGTCACTGAGAGTCCTGCCGGATATTAGCAGAAAATATATTCATTGCTGCTAATTCAATAAAGCCGGGCTGGGAAGCTGTCTCCACCCGGCTTGGCTGGCTACTGGCTTTAATCCTATGATTAACTTTTATTAATTAGACCCCCCCCAACATATAACCCAGTTCTAGCTGCTTGTTTTGCAGCAAGTCACTAATGTGCTTCTTTCTGGATTCCAGAAACTCCAGTATTTTGGGGGAAAGGACTATCCTTGCCCCCAGATAGGGTTGTAAAACTCCAAGGTGAGTCTCCTTACAAAATGGAAGAACCAAAGAGAAAGGGAGTTGGAGAGTTAGAGCAAGAGAGTCTGGAGAGAGGCTGGGGTGCTGTGCTGGTCCCCGAGTGAAAGTGAACTCCAGGTTCCAGCTGTTGCCTCCAGGAGGATGAACCCTGCTCTGGCTGAGACTTCTGGAGTCTAGTTCTGGTTCCGAGTGGGGACATCTCGGTTAGGGTTACCTAAAGCCCAGATATCCCCAGGAGTTCAATTTTCCCACCAGGAGCACAGAGAATTTCCTGAGCATCTTTTCCATCCTCTAGGACATGGTGGTGATGATTCTTCCTCCTCCCATCACCTCACAGACTTGGGTACTGCCTCGCCAGGGCCATCCCGCAGGGTGGCAAGCCGGCTTCCTAGCTCCTGTGAATTTAAGGGCAATAATGAAATGTCCCCTGTGTAGTGACCCCTGTTTATAGATGAAAGTTGAGTCCATGTCCTGCCTCTTCTCCCGCCTCTCTTCTTCCACCTTGCAAACGGCAAGGGGCAGAAGTAGTCTTTGGATGACAATAAGCTTCCATGGGCAGATTTCTGTCTTCTCGCCTTTGCACGAAAAAAAAAATGCTTTAAAATAAATCATAGTTTTGTGAACTGCTTACTGCTCGTCACCCCCACTAAATACACTAAACTGTGTATAGTGGGGATTTGACAGAGAATCATTACTGAACTTGGAGTGTGTGCGTGTGTGTGTGTGTGTGTGTGTGTGTGTAGAATGATGTTATGAGCCATTTTTTCCTTCCTGTGGCGAAAGGTCGTAATGTGTGGTATTTCACGGTTTTATATAAATCTTGGTTTAGGATGTGGAACAGACTCAATAATACATGCGCTTTTGGCAAAGAGACTCCTACGGATCCCCATAAATCAGAAGTAATACGAAGTCGCAGCGAACAAAAGAGCAGAAACATTTAATTGCTGCAAAACAGGACCCCCGTCTCCTTTAGAGGGAGATTCATGTAAATTCCCTCGG